ATTAACTGTTATACTAACTATAGAGAGATTGCTGCTGCTTTGCCTTGATTTTAAGAGTAATTTGACTTGAGAATTTAATTTTCATAAAAATGAAAGCAAGAGAAAATAAGGTACCGTAACTTGAAAAACATCCACAAATGATTAATAAGTTCTACAACATATTCTTGGGTCACAACATTGGAATAATATTCTAAGAAATATTTTGTGAAAAATTTTCATACTGGAGTGAGCTTCAGAGTACATTTTCAAACCTAAAGTGTTATATAATGGTTGATTAAAATACCATTGTTCAGTGCACAAATCGTTTTGTTATTGTTCATAACACAATTGTACAAAATAGTTTGATGATCAAGTATTATTGCATGGGCAGAGAGAATAGAATATCTGTCAAGATTAAAAGTGTAGGATCTGAAGGATGCACTTAATTGCCAGTGTTTATCAATTGCTTAAAAAAGTTTTTCTTTGACCATTTTTCTATATGATAAAAACATGCAGAAATCACTATATTTTAACCAATGTAAAAATGAATAAATCAATAAAGGAATTACATTATTTTTGCCTAGTTTTGTGATTATGCTGTGTACTTCAAGGAATTCATTTTCCTTGTGGAGGTATCCTAGTAACTCTCTTTATGTTATGGTCTATTTCCTCTTATTTATCAGATACATCTTAGAGCTGTCACCATATTTTTTTCAATTATTTTACCTTTGTGTTAGAATAACACTTTCATAGATTTTAGAGGCTTCACATATGGGATTCTTTTGTTGTTATATTTCTGTTGTTTCTTTTAAATCTGAAAGTGTATAGGGAAGGTAAAATTATAGATTGTGTTGATTCTGCTTCCATATTTGTTTGAACTTTGCTAAATAGAGAGATACCAAATAAATTTCCTTTAGTACTTTAAAATGATTATTTTGTAGTTGTTAGGCATTTTTTAAAACAGAATCTTGGGGCTTCAAGCAAATTCTTGTTATTTTGTAGGCACCTGCAATTTTCTGTAAACATTTTAGGACTTTACTTGATGTCAATAGTTACAAGCATACATCTGGGAATATAGCGTTCATGTGCTCAATACATATACTAAATGAAATCTTCAATAAGTAAAGGAAGTATTTTTTCTTCTCCATTTGTATTACTCCTGTATTGCTATAGCCTTGCTTTTCATACTGTAGTACTGGATCCTCTAGAACCCAAAGCTTTGATCATGTTTTTGTTTCCTGATTGCATGTACTTTCAATAAACTTTTAAAAGATCTCATGATAATTGCAGAAATAAAAAGATTTATATGAACTCTTCTTTTATAGTAACAACTTACAAAATGATTGTATAATAAATCCCTAAAAGAATATGAACTTGATACAACAAGAAAGCCCTACCTTCTTAGCCTTTATTGACATCACCCTGCTAAGAGAGGAGTATACATGCATCATTATAATTCAATGAGGGCACAACTTTAGATTCTTCTTTCAAGTTTTGCGGGGTATATGGGGAGGTCAGACCACATTTCCCCTGTATCACTGGTTAGACTAGAGAAGATATTACCTAAAATTTTGAATGTTTTAGAAACATACACTTTGCTAGTCTTTGACAAGGGAGAATATGATTGGTTGAACTTTTATGTATAGACTCTTAAGTCTGGGAGCTTAGCATCATGCCAGTCCTTGGGTAATAAGGCTTCTAAGTAGCTTGTTTCATATGTAATATTCAGATTTTTAGTTATTCTTAGTGGGAGGAATAGTTAAAAGTATTAACTACCATATATTCTTAGGAACAGAAATTAAAGTTACACATAGATTTCATGTTTCATAATTTTGTTAATAAATGATATACTAATGTTATTATTCAGATCTGACTTTCTGTAATGCTGAAATTTTATTTTAAGTATACTCTTCTGTGTCTTTGAAACTTGTGGAGAAAAGTAAAAAACTGCTACATATTGACTTGAAGTGTCTTAATGCCTTAAAATCAATCTTTAGTTAATTTTGATCATAAAATGATAGAGATGAAGGCCAGAGCCATATTTTTTACATTATAATGGGGGATAGAATACTGTTTTCTTCTACATAGAAATAGCTGGATGATGATGATGATGATGATGTGGATGATGATAGTGATAACACAGTGGTGGTGGTGGTGAGGATGATGTGTTATGATGATTTCCCCTTATATATATTTATATCTAAGGATATAAATCCTTAGAATTAATTTTTTCCTAGGGGGAACTATTGAATATACTTATTCACAAGTTCACAATTCCAAGAGACACACTCATGATTTTTGGTAACTTGGTATGGGCATACCTGATATAAGACTGTAAAGTTTATGAAAACATTTATTTATAACTAGATAGTGTTTCAGGCAGATGCAAAACATTATTACCTGGTTTCAAAAGATAACATGAGAATGATGCCTTTGGCCATTGCATCATGTCTCCTTCTGCCTCATTTGGACATCGATAGATTTTTATAATACATTTAGTAGTGACTTAGGGGCAGATATCTCACCATAGTAGGATACTTCTATATTGCTAAACTGGGAGGTAATTTAATTGTGAAAGGGAAATAAACACATTCACCTGAAAACAAAAGAGAGCTATGCTGTGTTAGAGTTTCATGAATATGGAGAACTACAAAGGATCTTAAACAAGAGTTAAAGTGACTCCACTGCTTCATAGAAACCATCAAAGTCTTAGGCTAACTTGAGCAGCACCGAGGACAGCTCCCATGAATTTCAGTTGGTTGTGCTGTTCTGTGTTGAGTCTGTTTTTGTTTTGCTTTGTTTTGTTTTTCCTCTTGCTATCATTGGTTTTAAAATCAATATTCCTAACTCTTAAAAGAGGCTGAGGTCACAGCAAATATAGTGGTTTTCTTCATTATCCCTGAATCTCACAGGTGAAGCATTTGAGTCATGGCTAGTTTCAAGTAGTCATCGTTTTCCTAATTAGACATTTTTTTTAAAACTTCATTCCTGTCATTGGTATTGTCATATTTGTTACTAGAAACTTATATATTGAAATTGAAAATACAATTAACACCCTTATTCCTTCCACCTGGAGAATTCCCAAAGTGTTATTTATTACTTAATTTTTCAAACATAGAACATTGTGCACTGAGAACAGGAGGAGAAGTTATGTACTGTGATTTATGTGTTATGCCCAAGACAATCTCTAGAAATATCATGTTTTACTTACTTGTTTTTTCATGAAATAATTATAAGGCTATATTTAATAAAAATTACACTTTCTAATAACTTCTAGAATAGACCAGCCTTTATAATCAATCAATTCTGGACTTGACTTTGATTCCATAACATCCAGGTTTGGAAATTGAATGCTTAGCTACATCAGTCTTTTTTAGTCACATATAAACATTGAAGTTATTGCCTTCCATGTGGTTTTACTATGAAAATTAAACAATATATCATATGTGAAAGATGGGCATAATATCTAGGCAGAGAAGGGTGAACTTACTTCTACCCTTCCCTGTGCTCAAGAATCTATTGTAAGCACACTTATGTAACAAAAATACTGACCTTGAAAATAGAAATCCAATTATTTTCCACTATAATCAACTAGTTAAAGTTCATATAAAACTCATCAATTGAAGTTTGATGTGAAATATTTCCTATTATGTCATATTCCATAAATAATGCACCTTTCTGAAAAAGCATAAGCACTGCTCTTTCTTTTTTCTGCTTATGTGGTGCTGAGGAATTGAATCCAGGGCCTCATGCATGCAAGGCAAGTGCTCTACCACTGAGCCACCTTCCCAGACCCAGAACTATTCTTTAACAAATTTATAATCCTTGCCTCCTGCATATAGTAAGACAATGATTAAAGATGATTATAGTAGTAATTTGTTACTTAAAACACATGGAACTTATTTGTTTTTCCCTGGAATATAAGATGGGACTATCACAAATATTGTCTGCTAAAACCACATGAAGACATTCATGGAGCTATGACTGCATCTCTCTCCTCATATTTTACATCTAGAAGGTGGGTTCTTTGTGGAAAGAACAAGACTCAGTGTTGTTACGTAGCTCAGCAGCTGCTGAAAAGAAGGATCATACACTGCTTTTGTGTGGACTAAAGGCATATTTTAGAGATGTGACTCTTAAAACCTGCTAGGGAATAAACCAGGCTCCGGTGACTCATGCTTGCATTCCTAGCTACTCCACAGGCTGAGATTGAAGCCATTCCTGGACAGGAAAGTCTTTGACACCCTTAACTCAAACTAACTACTTAGAAAAGCCAGAAATGGCCCTATGGCTCAGGCTGTAGCAAAGGAAGCTCGAGGTCAGCATCCAGCTCCCACTCCCCTCCCCCCCCCAAAAAAAAACAAACTTGATAGGGAATAAGATGGGATTATGTTAAGAAACTATAAAAAAACAATGGAATAAAATGTTCAACATTTCAGACTTTTGGAAGAGGAAGAGTAACCACAAAAGGTTATGTGATAATTTACATGGTAAAAAAATTATTGAGCAATGAAAGTGGAGATGGTGGCATTTAAACTGAAGTATGCTGAGTAAAATCACTCTAATAAATGGTCCAGTAGGCTTACTGTACTAACACTGAGGGACCTATGGTCATTATTTTAAACTGTGTTTCTTTGAGAAAGATAAGTGGAAGGATATAAAGTATTACTTTAAAAGCATTCAGTCAAAAAGAAATTAAGGACTGGGAATGTAGCTTAATGGTAGAGTGCTTGCCTATCATGCATGAAACTCTGGGTTTGATTCCTCAGTACCACATAAACAGAAAAAGCTGTTAGTGATGCTGTGGTTCAAGTGATAGAGTGCTAGCTTTGAGTAAAAGAAGCCCAGGCCTTGAGTTCAAGCCCCAGGACAGGCAAAAGAAAAAGAAAAGAAAAAAAAAGAAATTAAAAGGATTAGAGCAGTTTTCTCAGCAAAAGTTAGTCTCATCCAGTTTTTTGCTCTAAGTTGTCCAACACAAATGAACTTAAAATCTATTAACTAAAAGCGTGTACATCCCCAAGATGGAGAACCCTACAATGTTAAATTCTACATTTCAGGAGTTTGTCTTCTTTTTGGTCATTCTGAGGTTGGAAGAGAGGGATTTACAATTGCCAGGTAGGTGTTCTAAGGGCAGCCCTTTTACTCCGGTTCTTTTTGAGTTAGAGCTTTGCTTTTTCCTCTGGACAGTTTGGACCATGATCCTCCTATTCATGCTTTCTGAAGTAGTTGTGATGACAGTTGTGTGCTAAGATGGCCAGCTTTTTCTGCTGAAATATAGTCTAAAAATTCTTTTCCCAGGATGACCTGGAATCGTAATCCACCCAATCTCAGATTTGTGTGTATCTGGAATGATTGGTACGTATGTGTCCCTAAACTAATAACTATATTAGTTGAGATGGAGTCTCAACAAACATTTTGTTTGGGTTGGTTTTGAGTCACAGTCCTCCTAACCTCAGACTGCTTAACAGCTAGGGTTACAGGAATGAATCCTTGCAATTTGCTCAGAAGGGACCCACAGCCATGTGCTTGGATAACTGAACACCTGAGTAAGGAAGTTATTCAGCCATTTCAACGGCTGTTGGACACCAGGATCAAGCTGATATTGATACCTGGCAGCTTGAAGCATCATTCTTTTTTTTTTTTTTTTTTTAGTCATGGGGCTTGAACTCTAGGCCTGGGCGCTGTCCCTGAGCTCTTCAGCTCAAGGTGAGCACTCTACCACTTGAGCCACAGCACCACTTCCGGCTTTTCCTGTTTATGTGATGTTGAGGAATCGAACCCAGAGCCTCATGCATGCGAGGCAAGCACTCTACCACTGAGCCACCTTCCCCGCTCTGAAGTGTCATTCTTCTCCCTCATCCTTTGAGTGAGAGCAACAAAATAAGTGAGTGGGGATTCTAGATGAGATTAGACTCAAAAGTAGGTCCATTGGTTGGGTTCATTTCCCTGGGCTGGGGGAAAAATCAAAATAAGAAGGTAATGCTTTAAGACTTTAGTTGGAGTGAGAACTGAGATGTATGATGCGCCTTTTCTGTTCTTAAATTTCCACAGTAAAATAAACCTGTGGTTTACTTTGGAAGTGGTTGTTGGTGGGATGATCTTGAAACCAGGGGAGACAAGCAGAACAAGGAGGTGAACTGTGATGGACGGTATTGTGTGCCAGCCAGAGCCTTTTTTTGTGTGCACATGATAACTGTTCTCCCAAGTGCTAGTTGCTTTAGCTATTGACTTACTAAGCCAAATTCCTCACCAGGATTGCCATTGTTAATGATGGCTACTTTGACAGTGGGTTTTGCCTCTAGGGAGCATATAGAAGCATAAGTGACCAGGCCAATGAAGACATAGAAATGTAGTGTCTCTGACTCCATTCTAAACAAACCAAAATGGCCACCGCATATCCAGATCATCTTGTGGAATCAACTATGACCTTGTGGTGACTGCATTGCACATGAATGTTTCCTCCTGTCTCACTTCAGTTTCTCATGAGATTTTTTTTCCTGACAGGACACCTTGATGAGAGTTCCGTAAGTATCTCTTGGTTTCGCAGTCTGTTATTCAAGCAACCTAACTTAAAACACAGAAATATTTATAGTGCTTATTAAACTTTATGACTTATGTTATAATAAATTTATGGTGCTACGAGATAGTGGTCCATATATCAGTGTCAGCAAATAAACAGTAGGGTGACAGATTTCTATGATAGTTCTTGTTTCCATATTAGCAATAACTTTTGCAAAGGGGTTGTAACTAACATTGGAAGGTCTCTTATTTTGAACACTTGAAGACATCTGATATTTCTCATTTACATAATTTTCTTCTCCAAATGTATTTGGTTGCTTCCTCTATTTCTCTCAAGATATGGTTTCTACATAGTGCATTCTAGTTGTCTAGTTGTCTTCTTAAAAATTCATATTATGGCCATTCATTGCTAATGACTAAAGGATTTATTCTCCTAAAGTTCACATGTCAAAATCTTAATATCTTAATTATATTTGGAAATAAGACCTTTAGAAGGTCATTGGGTTATTAGGATGAAACCATCATGATGGATCTGACTCTGGAAGAAGAGGTAAAAGATAACTTCCTTTGTTTTGTCTTTCCCTCTCTCCCTCCCTCCATCTCCCCTCTTCCTTTCCTTCCCTTCCTTCCTTCCTTCCTTCCTTCCTTCCTTCCTTCCTTCCTTCCTTCCTTCCTTCCTTCCTTTCTTCTCTCTCTTTCTTTCTTTCTTTCTTTTTTCTCTTTCTTTCTTTCTCTCCTTCCTTCTTTTTTCTTTCTTCTCTTTCTTTTATCTTTCTCTCTCCCTTTCTTTGTTCCTTTCTTCCCTCCCTTCCTCTTTCTCTTTTTCTTTTTTTTCTCTCTCCCTTCTTTCCTTCCTTACCTCATTCCCTCCCTCCTTCTTTCTCTCTCTTTTTCCTTCTTCTTGCTCTTTCTTTCTTTCTTTCTTTCCTCCCTCCCTTCCTTCCTTCCTTCCTTCCTTCCTTCCTTCCTTCCTTCCTTCCTTCCTTCTTGCTTGCTTTCTTGCTTTCCTTAGAGAAGACATTCACTTAATCATACTTATGCCATAATTTTGAATTTTCCAGCTCTAGAACTGTGAGAAATAAATGCTTAAACCAACTAGTTTATAGTATTCTTGCTATAGTATCCAAAATCTAAGACACTGAGAAAGAAATAAAACTATTCTTTTTTGATCATCATAGAAAATTTTTTCATTACTAGAAAAGTATATCCTTATATATTTCATTACTATGTTAATTTTAATTTCAAAACACTTTTTAAGTAAAGCTGGGCACCAGTAACTCATACCTATAATCTTAGTTTCTCAGGAGGCTGAGATTTGAGTATTATGTTTCAAAGCCAGCTTGGGCAGGAAAGTCCATGGTACTCTTATCTCTAATAAACTTAACTACTGAAAAAGAAAGCTAGAGATGGACCTGTAGCTCAAGTGGTAGCGTGTTAAACCTTGAGCAAAAGAAGCTGAGGGACAGTACCAAGGCACTGAGTTCAAGCCCCCAAGATAGGTACACAAAAAATAACAGTAATACATTGAAGAAGCAGAAAGGAAAAGAAAATGAGATCTTACTTTGGGAAAGGACTAAGAAAAAAATACCATTGGAGGCTCTTGAAGGAATTTGAAAGGAAATAAATACACTGTTAGAAGCATTCGGTGCTGAATGATTGCTGGTGTTGTAGGCAGGAAGGATACAATTTGCTATCAGCTAAGAGGTTAATGTGGTTGTGTTCATTCAGTGCATTCCTAAAGAAGAGAAGCAGAAAATAAGTTTGCAAAACTTGCTGAGAACAAATAGTAGAAGGATATGAATACCACTCTAAAACACTTGAATTTTCTCTCTAAGTTTTGACTTGACAGGATGAGTATAGATAAATAGCTTTAGGAGCACTGTGATGAATGATGGGTAACAGTTCAACATGCTATTGATTTACCTCAAACATTTCATCAAGCATATATGTTACCAAGATTGAATAATAGAATTCATAGTAAGGATCTTGCTTATTAAAACACAGATATACCTTTTGTCTGTATCTAACTTGTATCTGTTTGAGGGAGGGTAAGGGGAAGCACAAAAATGGTGGCACAAAGGTTAAACAAATGAATTAGTGACACTAGAATTGTTGAAAATAAACTATAGAACTTGTGGGGGTAGTATGTTGACAGTGAAAAACTTGGAGAAAATGAGGAAAGAGGTAATGCTGTCAAAAAGAAATTTCCTCATTACCTGACTTATGTAACATTAAACCCTCTGTATATCACCTTTACATTAACAACTTTAAAAACCCACAAGCATATGAAGCAATTTTGTTAAAAGCACTGTGTGACTAGCTCTCGTGGATATCCAACATGAAGAATTGCTATTAGATTTGAAGCAATATGCTTCACACAATATGCTGTCACTTAGTGTAATCTTATAACCTTTGTGCACTGGCTATTCACAAAGCCAAATGGAGATGAAAGTTGAAGTAGAGTAAATGTTACTGTCAAAAAAAAAGATAGAGGGAGTACAGTTTATCGCTATTACCGATTGTCTTTCAATATTCTTGTTTCTCTTTTACACCATTTCCTTTATGGTTTTGTAAATACAATGTGTGAATTCAGTTCTTTTTTGTTTACTTCTGCCAGTGCTTGATCTTTGATCTCCTCTCTAGCCTATTGGAGCCATTATCAGAACAGATAAGAGACTGGGTTCTCCAACTGTGTCATGTTTAATCTTCAGTAGAATCCCAGTTATGCAAAAACTTCATCTAATGTTCTTTTTTTAATGTGGTTGGCGCTTTAGCAGTGTGAAACAGGAATGAGTCATTTAGAAGTCAAACTTCTTGCCACATAAAACTATATGTTGTTTAGATTCATATATCATTACTTGCTTAAAGAATTGCTCATGCTCTGCTGGCAAAGCATAAAGGTCAGTGCTGTCTTCAGTGATGTTTAGTCTTCTCCAAATCTGCTTTCCTTTTGTCTCTATACATAGTCTTGCTAATATTGGAATGCAACTAAGCATTGCAGATCCAAATGACCATACATATTTATCTTCTTAATGATAATATCTAAGATCAAAGCTACTTTAGTCCAACTAAGTGGAGTAAATATGAAGCCTTCAAATCTGCTTTGGGTGAATTCAAAATAATTTTATTTTTATTTTATTTTATTTTATTTGTGAACATACTGTACAGAGGGGTTACAATTGCATGGGCAGGATAATGCGTACATTTCTTACCAAGCATTGCAGCCTCCCCC